GTTAAAAGCCATAAACAATTTAAAATTATAAAAATGTATTTATCATCTTATATTTGTATCAAAATTAAGGTTGAAGGTTGAATGCATTTGTGTCCTAATTACTGAAACAAAGGATGGTGACGGGGGGCTGCCTACAGCAGGACCTTCTTTGCTTCGTGTCTGCCTTTCACAGCATGACCATGAAGGGGGCCATCGTGGAGAAACACCCCAGGGGGCCACCAGTTCTTCTCAGGGTCCCACAGGGCCTCATCCTTGTCGATTTTCTCCTGTCAGATTCTCACTTTGGCAGTGGCTTTGTACGCGTCTGTGACAGTTCTCCATCATCATTTCCATCAACTTCATGAAACTCCCCAGCCTTAGCAAGCTTTGCAGTTCGTACTTTCTGTTTCATTGGCTTGGGATGAGCCTGGCAGAAAAGACTGACAGGTGGGACTCAGGGCTGCTAGAGCGAACTGGCAAGGGGCTTAGGTGGGGACTGGTTCTGCAGGTGAATATGTTTTCATAGCGAATATTTCTGATATGGTGTCTTTTTCTCCCAGAAGCCGTGGAAAGCAGGATCAAGGAGATTCCTTCTTTCCACGGCTTCTGGGAGAAAAAGGGGACCAGAGCTGGGTGGCAAGCTCCTGCCCTCTTGGCTCTGTTTATCCATGCAGGCAGCCCTGTTTTCGATGCCCCCAGGTTCATGCTGGGTTTAAGGGTCTCCCTTCTCATCCAGCTCAGGCCCAAGGTCAAAGGGCAAGCCCTGGTTCCCCAGCCCCAAGGGTTGTGGGAAGATCTGAAACCGTGAAAGCCCACAGTGCTTTCTATGAAGCCTCAAAATTAACAGTGTCATCAAGAAACAGCCACAGAGTGCTGGGGAGAGAGGAGGTCCGAGCGCAGAGAGAAAGAAGGTCTGCTGAGTGGCAAGACTAGGAAAGAGGGAGGATTGGGACGTTCTGCACCCACAGCAGGCAGAAGCCAAATACGTACACTGTCATCCTCTAGAGACTGAAGCAGGCTCTGCTGGACTTCTTGGCTGGAGAGGGAAAGGCCCATATAATTTTCCAATTCTGCCAAGTTTGGGTACAAAACTGACGGGGAAGGAAGAAAGAAGAAATGTGGCATTCAAGGGCATGTGCTTCCCCATACCCGCCTGGCTCCCCTGCGGCTGCTCATTTTTATTAAGAAATGGGGCCTGGGAATGATGTTTATTTCCAAGAGTGCAGGGTATCCCAGGAACACTCGCTGGTGAACGCTCCTCAAAGGGCCCAGGTGCAGGGTGGGACACCGAGTCCGCATGCACCACTTTGCTATTCAGCTCCACTGACTTTGTTTGGCACCCAGAAATCTGCACCCCTCAGTGAATGGCTCCCACCAGAACTGGCAGAGTCCTAATCCCTTCTTGTAAGGAGTGTGTCCTTATAAGAAGAGACGACAGAGGGGGCAGGTGCTTTCAAGCTCTCTCTCTCTCTCTCTCTCTCTCTCTCTCTCAGCCAGAAGGTGGCAATCCGCAAGCCGGGAAGGGAGCCCTCACTAGAAACCGAATTGGCCAGAACCTTGATCCTGGGCTTCCAGCCTCCAGAGCTGTGGGAATATACATTTCTGCTGTTGAAGCCATCCAACCTATGGTATTTTGTTATGGCAGCCTGAGCTGAATAAGGTAAGTGGGGGTCTGGCCCCTTCTCTCTTTGGGGCGCTATCTGCCATCTGCTTCTCCCCCACCTGTCCCCACCCCAGGCCAGCCACAGTTCCAGCAAGGAAGTCTGGCAAGTGTGGTATTTCATTCCTGGGGTCACATGAGATTGGGTCACCAGAATAGTGCTGACATGCTAAATCAAGGTGACTCCAATTGTTTATTTAGACAGAGGCCCCCACAAATGATATCACATTCTCAAGGTGGCCTTGCTGGAGGTATCAGAGAAGGCCCAGCTTCCCTAAACCTGAGTTGGGTTTGGAAGGAGTTCGCCAGGCCGTCGAGGAGGGAGGAGCAGCATGGGCACAGGCTCTGGGAGGCGAAGTGACTCAGCCCAGGTCACCCAGGCAGTAAGACATGGGTAGCAGCTGGAAGCCTGGTCCTCTCCTCCACCATGTTGAGTCATAACCTAGGAGCCTCCCATACCTTTGGCATTGCCAAGCTTCCCTGATGACCTCTTCCCTGAACGGACTGGGCACCCAGGAGCCTCCCAACCCAGCTCACTCACCTGGTGTTGGGGAAATGGCTGCCGCCTGGGCTGGCAAGGCTGGCATCTTGGGTGAAGCTCTGGCCTGGGCCTAGGGAGGGGCAGGGAGCACTGGTCAGCTGTGGCCAGGACCCCAGGAACCCCAGAGCCTGGAGCTCCACGAGGCCAGGGTCTGGGCATCAGGTATGTAAGTGGGCCTGGGGTGGAGGGGGGAGTGTCCACCAACCCTCAGGGCTCGAGATCACGTAAACGTGGCCTCTACAGATGTGTCTTTTCCGGGGAGGAAGTTCTGAGGACTGTGACCCACCATATACCACAACTCATTTACTGTCTGCAGAAGGAAGAACATCAAGGCCCATCTCCCAATCAGATTCTCAGCTGAGAAGTTCCAAATTCTCAAAACCCACTGGAACCCCAGAGTGCTGGGATGGAGGGACAAGGGGTCTCTGGGGGTTGAGCAGGCCGATCCCCAAGCCCAGAGTCTTGTTTCCTCTGAAAGCCTGCCTCAGAGCATGGGGCCTGCCCATCCTGGACAGAGGGAGAGCTGGGACTGGGCGGGCCAGAGCAGGCATGAGAGAGACACGTGTGCAGCTGCACGGTCTCATCCATTCTCACTGTAACACCACGGGCATTGCCCCCTGGGTGCCTTCTCTGCCCAGCAGGCCCTGCAGCGGAGACCTACCTGCCCTGAGGCCTACAGGAATTTCCAAGTGGCCCCAATACCCAGCACCTTCCAGGGTAATCCCCAAGGTACCCTTCAGGGAGTCCAGGCCAACAGGGCCCGGCAACTTACCTGAATGGCTTGGTCCACTTTTAGGTCCTCCAGGGATGGGTACAGGGACGACATGGCTGCTTCTCGGAACACCCTGCAGAGCGCAGAGGGTGGGGAGGGATGAAGGCGCAGCTGGTGCCCCCTTGAGAGGAGGCACAGACAAGCAGGTTGAAAGTTAATATTCAAACAGAAAGGCATCAGGACACTTAGAATCCCTCCTGGAACTCTGCCCCGAATTCCCTCTCGATAGTGGAGCTCTACTGTATTCCGCCCATCTCCAGCCCTTCCTGTCAACTTTTCATCTTGGCCACAGTGAAGTAAGACCAGTAGGAAATTTATAAAGACTCTCACATAAACTGTAGCAGAACATAGACGCTCAGCAGAGCACTGCTCAGACGGAGGCGGGAAGGGGGGATGGAGAGGCACCATGAACATTCACTTACTAAACGCCTTCTCATTGTCCCGGGGAGAATCAGCAGGGCCTCTGAGCAAGGTGCCCAGAGAAAGGGAAAGGAATGGTGACCTCTCAAGACATGTTTTATTTCCTTCCTGACGAAATGTGGGGAAGCAGTCTGACTTTCCGGGTTCCTTCCTTTACCCACTAACCACTGGCTCTGTCACACCTCCAGGCTTCGCTGACGCAGTCTACTCCATGCCCTCAGTTCCTGTGGGACAGGCCTCCCCTGGCTCCCAGGCAGCACGGTCACTGCCCCGGGACCGTGCTGGGCTGAACTTCAGTCTCCCGCCTGAACTTACTAATTATCCTGACTGCAGTTCTGAGGGGTCAATGTGTGTCCTGTTCATCCCACTGAACCCACATGTGACAGGTACGCATGATAAAGGCATGCCTGCAGGTGGCACAGGAAACTGAGGGGCCTGTGCTGGGGTGACGTGACTTCACTCATAAGGGCAGGAGCTCTGTCCTGTTCACACTCGATCCTTTCCCACCACGACACTGCCCAGCACACGTATGCTAGCAGAAATTGTTTGACTGAATAAATCAGTGGTTTTCCAAGGAAGAGATTGGAAATTTGTGTGGGTATTTTTGGGTGTCACAAGACTGAGGGGACAGTCATATCCCTGGGGTGGGGGGGCAGGATATGAAACTCCTGTAATGGATGGGACAGTCCATTACAGTCACCACAACAAATGGTCCTGTCCCACACAACTTTCAGATCAAACCTTCAAGTAGGCCAAAAATGTTATAATTCGTTGTATATACAATCATAGTGAATTTTTCCCTAGTTTTAATAAATACGAGATTGTCTGGAAATGCATACACTAGGTTAGTTGTGGGGAGTTACACTTTGCTCACCATTCTAGAAAATCACTGCCCACTCTGCTCACCACGGGTGAGTCACTGGAGCAGCATGCCCACGTCTGTGCGCATGTGTAGCTGTCAGAGTGGCTCCACGCTTCTACACAAATGTATTTAGCCTTTGCTTCAAGATGTCAGACATAAACTGTTGGCAAAATCCAGCTGAATATTCTCTTACAGTAAATCTAAGCTGACTCCTAAGTTAGGTATAAGCACGATCCGGTGTAAGTCAGGCTCAGCTTTTACAAAGTGAAATGCGTATTCTTTTATTAGGAATTGCTTTCATTTCCCTGACTTCTCCTTTATAAAGACAGGGCATCGTATTGATTTTTTTTACTCGGGGGAACCATCACCTAGGCTACAGCCTCGGGACAAACCTGCCCCTTCCCTTGGCCTCAATTTCCTGCTTTGGGAAATAGGAGCCACGAGGCACAAACTCCATCCATTGCGAGAGTCCAGGAGAGAGGGCCAACGCAACGGTCCCTAGGGCCTGCCTCCACCCTGGCCTCAGTTTCCCATTTGTCACATCGTTCCATGATCTCGAAACGACTACAACCCCCGCCGCTGCCGCCCCAAACCAGCAGGAAGCGACATATTCGGGTTGCTACAGGTTACGGCGGTTGCTAAGGGCTACGGCGCCTGCGCAGAAACCCCGCCAAGTGACGCAGCAGCGCCTAGAGCGCCTGCGTCTCGCCCACCCGGACTTAGGCGCGGCTAGGGGTGACTCCCAGGATCCCTGGCGGCTGCGGAGTGGAAAATGGCGGCCTCCATGCCGCGTGGGTTGTTGGTCGGGTGGGTTACTAGAGTCCACCCGGTCTCGTGCTTTCTCTGGGCACCCGTAGCTGACGCCGGCATCCACAAAAATAGATCAGGTAAAGCGGCAGAGTAAGGGATACGAAGGCTTGGTTGGGCTCTGCGGTCCCTCTTTACCGGATTGGAGGCTGCGAGGGTGAAATCGAGCTTTAAACTCCCCTGGCCTCTGAACACCATTTTAGCCTCCGAAGGAGGAGGACTTATAAGATTCTGTACTAAGGCAGCCGTAGGAAAAGAGGAGAACCAGGTCGACCCGTGAGCTCCAGGCTGCTCTTGCGCGCCCTCTGGTTTCGGAGGCGTCAGGTCCCAAGGTATTTCTTACCAATTGTGACTTCACCCTTCCTCCCACCCTCTCACCCGTTTCTTGTCTGGCAGTGACTTCTGACCCAATGCTAAGCTAAAAAGGTCCCGCCCTATCCTACGCAGAGTCACCTCGTGTCCCATCTACCAGTGACTGATTGGGCCTCTGCTACCTAGGGAAGGGTTCTTGGCTTGGCGGGGCAAATCAGTTCCCACAGCAAAATCAGACCAAAAGCCAGTTATGAGGGACTCAGTTGGGTCTGGCGTATAGGAAAAAGGCTAGGGCAATCTGGACGGTCTCTGGAGGGAGGAAGAAGATTCTGACTGGGCCATGTAGGATGGATATTCAAGTGGGTGGGAAGAGAGTGCTGTTCCAGGGACAGGGAGGCTCGGGCCTGAGAGTCTAGTTGCTTTCTGGATCCCGTTTACCTCCTGCAGGTTATCCAAACTGGCCTCATAATTCTCCCCAGCAGCTGCTGCGCCTCCACAGCAGTCCCACTAAATCCACCCAGGGCTGTGCCAGAAATCTGGGAGTTATCTTCAGCTCCCAGGAAAAGGACCCACTTAACTCCTCTCTCCCAGAGGAATTTTCCTCTCCCACAGCACTTTCCAGATTTCCATCCCTGAGCTTCTGTCCTTTTTGATGTTATAAGCAATAACACCCACAACAAACCAGTAGCTGGGCTTTGGAGATCAGCACGGCTGACAAGGGGACTTCAGCCCCCATCTTTGAACTTAGAGTGAGAACACTCCTTTGGAACACTTTGTTCCAAAGAGCTGAAGGGACTCCCACTTCGTTCCTGTGGACAGCTCATCCATCCTTTACAAGACAGCGCGCGGGAGGGAAACGTGGGTTAGAGTGTCAGAGGAATAGCTCCTGGAAGGCCAAATTAGCCCAGGGATACGGTGAGTCGGAATGGAAGAAGCTGTTGCTAGGCCACCAGCATGTACCCCTGCTCCTCTCAGGGCCGCACTGCCTGCTGGAGAAAAGCTGTGACTTTCTCCAGCAGACGCACCTGAACCCACCCCCCAGGGTGGGGCGGGGAGAGCAGGGTTCAGACTGACTGCTTCTGACTTGTGAGAGCACAGCATAGGCTTTTGAATGCCATTTCTTCCTTTATAATCTGGATAATAATACTTGCATCACAATTATCTGGAGACTGAAAGATTTTTAAAAAGAGGTGGTGTATGTGGAAAGCATTTAGCACAGTACCTGGCACAGAATAGGCATTCCGTAAGAGTTAGCTGTTTATTCATTGTTTCAACACTTAACTTACTGAGCACCTACTAAGTCTGAGGACTGTTCTAGGTGTCAGCAGTGAAGGAAAGAAGAATTGATCCCCAAATGTGCTTTTTTGGGGGGGGGGGAGCTGGATAAATAGGCTCTGTGACTTTATGTGCTCTGTTAGATGGTAGGAGGCAATGGAGAGAAAAACAGCAGGATGGAGTGTTGCGTCAGGAGGTTCAGAAGCCTTGCTGGCGGGCTGGGGTGACATATGAGGAAAGGCCTAGAGGGTTGGGGAAGAGCCTTTCAGACTGAGGGCATGGCCATTGCAGAGGCTCTCAGGTGGGAGTTGGTGTTGTGTTTAGAGCATCTCACCAGTGAGAAGCTGTTCAGAGAGGGAGTAAGGAAGAGTAGTGGGAAGGAGGCTGGCGAAGTGAGAGAGGCCAGATCCTGGAGGGCCTGGAGGTCATGACGAGGGCACTGGCATTTACTGTAGTGAGGTGGGAGCCACGGGGGGATTTGAGCAGCAGGGTGCCAAGTTCCAGCGGTTATTTTAACAGGCCTCCTCTGGCTGATGTTTGGAGGTTAGCCTGCAGGGCGGGAGTGGGAGCAGGAGTCCAGCTGGGAAGTGATGGTGGTGGAACTGTCATGAGCTTGGTCCACTGTATGTGAAGCCACCTGTCCAGTGCCCGCCCCGCCCATAGTAGGCTCATTTCCTGCCCCATTTTCTGAGGCCCTGCTGAGGAGGGCATGCACTGGCTCCTTGTGTCCAGCATGTCATTCTGTTCTCCTGACTTTGTGGGCTCTTTTCAGTCTCCAGATGAAGAAGCTAGTTTTTAGAAAGGTGAAGTCCCTGGTGTCGTTCCCCAGCAGGTGTTTCAGTGCTGTAGCAGGAGAGTTTCTTGATAGAAACAGCTTCAAGCCAGAGAAGGAACCCTGGGCTATGGATTCCTTGGGGGAAATGGGCTTTTTGCCTGCCTACAGCTTCTGGTTTCAGCTGGAATTGGCCTTTCAAGGAGCAAAGTGTGGGTCTCACCTCCTTGAGCACAGTCACGTGCAGTCAGAAGGCACTGGAGGCCTCATGATGTCTGGGTCAAGAAAATCACTCAGCCCACAATCAAACCTGGCCCAGGGCTGGGATCAGGAGAAGAAACCTCACTTCACACTTGACTCCTGGAGTGAAGCACTTCGAAAGGAAGCTGCCTGAGAAGTCCCAGAAGGGAAGGGGCAGGGAGGGAAGGAGACAGGGTGAGAGCAGGTCTCAGGCATCCCAGTCCCAGCCAGGATCAGGTCAGGACCCCCAGTGCATACCTGCAGGCTAGATGTTCCTCCACGTCCTTCTCCAGTTGCTGCTGAATCTGTTTCCCTTCCTGGAAGGTAGCCCTGTCTCAGCTGGCTTCGTGCTCTGGAAAGGGTGGTGCCCGTCCCCTGTTCAGCTGACTCACCTTGGACTGGGTTGGGCACAGGTCGGGCCTGTGACTGGGTAAACAAGGCAGGTCGCCAGCCCAGAGAAGGCCTTTGGCCTTAGTCTAGATTTGGAGGTAGGATTAATATGAACCAAGACTTCTTGGCCTTTTCTTAAATAGCTCTAAATTTGGGTTGGACGCCTAGTCCTGTGGATCGGGGAAGGCCGCTGACTAGAGGGTGGTTTGTGATAGGTATCTAGGGGTCTAGGCCAGGATATTAAAAAGTGGCCAGACCCTGTGACCCAGCATTTCTTCTTGGAATTTGTTACAGTGAAGTCTCAGGGCCCATCCATCATTGCTGCTTCTAATAAGGAAAATGTAGAAATCCCAAATGCCTCTGCTTAGTAAATCATTATCTGTGGAAGATCACAAAGCTATTAAAGTCATTTAAGGAAGAAGCTATGAGGAAATATTTTTGAGATTCTGGTGAGATACTGAAAAATCAATATTGTGAATCTCTTCTTGCATTTTGCTTTCCCTTTTTGTCAAGTGGACGTGCGTTGAAAGCAGTCTAGGAGGACATACGCTAAAATGCCGAGTATCTCTGGATGGTGGCGTCGAGGTTTTTAGTTTGTACTTTTGTGTGTTCCAAGGTGGTGTTTTTCTGTTTTGTTTGTTTTTTTTTCAGTCATGATTTTTGTAAGGGGTAAGTGATTAAGTTTAATTATTTTAACGGGAATTTAGATTGGTTGTCTCATGGGAGCAGAACTGAGGAACTGTGTGCTGAAGTGGAGATTTTTTTTTTTTTTATGGCACATTTTTTGGTGTCTTAAATTTTGAAAAGATTAAATGTACTACTTATTTCAAAAACAATCATATAAATTTAAACAGAAAAGGGGGAAGAATTTAGTAAGATTCTGGTGGGTTTGGTTGTAAAAGGGTGCCTGTCCCATTGGGTGCCTGGAGAGGGACGGGGACCCACGTGCTGGGCAGTCCCATGAGGAGTGACAGTGTACACACTCAGGATGTGTCAGTATCTGGGCTGCCCGCCAGGCCATACAGGCCCACGCCACAGTCCCCATGACCCACCTGGTAGTTGCACTAGCCTTGGATATCAGATCTTGTGCCTACCTATGAAGAGCTTACAGCTCAGAGTCCCACACAGGAAACACGCAATAGGAACAATAATAAGAAAGACATTTGTCACTCCCAGAGAGCACAGGGATACTGCCTCTGGTATTTTAAAGGCATGATCTCAGTGGCTCCTCATACCTTTCCTGCAGAGTAAGTGTGACTCACACCATTCCTACAGGTGGGGAAACTGAGGCACGGGGCAAAGTTTCTCTCTCAGGTTAGCTGGAAAGTCGCCCAAGGCCATGCTTTCTCTTCTATGGGACATGCCGTTTCTGAAAGCTGAGGTGTGAGGCATACCTCATTGTAAGCCCCGTGGGCCTGAAGCTGAGGTAATGTGGGTGATGGACCCGCCTTAGGTCAGGTCTCCAAGGCCAAAGCAAAGTGGAAAATAGAGACCCCAATTGAACCAAGCGACTCCTTCCCCACCTCACTTCAGTCGTGACCTGAAAGGGCCTTCAGAGAAGAGAGAGGAGGCAGCAAGCCCTTCTGGGCAAGGGACTTGCCTGTGGTCCCAGCGTGTCAGGGTGGGGCCCAGGCCCCCGAACTCCCATCTGTTGAATACATACAGGGACTCTCTTTCTCTTCCCTGCTTTTCTAGTTGCCACCCATCACTGACTTCCAGCCACCTGGAAGTCCTTTCCATTGGGCATGCCCTTGCTCGAAGGCTTCAGCGGCCCCCTCCTGCTTCAGGGTCTGGACTAAACTCCCAGGGCTGACATGGAGACCTCCACAGCGTTCCTCAACGTTCCCCCTGCCCCTCTCCCTCAGCTGGGCCGGGAGCCCCACCATTCTTGTCCCACCGCACCCCCACTTCCCACTTGCCCTGACTCCATACTTTTGCCTGTGCTGCTGCCGCCCCTGGAACCCCTTCTCCTGCCCTGACCCACCCACCTCACCAAATCCACCACTGAGCTCCTCCAGGAAGCCTCCTGGATCATCCCCATCCACGTGGCCTTTCCCCTCTGACTCTGAATCAGACTATTCTGTTCCATTCTTTAATAATAATCATCTTATATTCGTGTGTACCTTAGGCTACTAGTTAGACCCTAAGTTCTTTGAGGACAGGGCCAAGTTATTAGCTCTACGGTGGTGACTCTTCTTTGGAGATAGCATTTCGCTCTGTTGCCGAGGCTGTAGTGCTATAGTGCAGTCATGGCTCACTGTAGCCTCGACCTCCCGGGCTCAAGAGATCCTCCTACCGCAGCCTCCCTAGTAGCTGAGACCACAGGTGTACACCGCCACACCT